GGCTCAGAAAATTTCAAGGAATCAAAGGGTCATTCACATAAAAACCTCTCCTTTTTTTTATTTTTCGCTATAAAATCTTTTTTCATTTTATTGCCTAATGTTTTTTCTTTCTAATGATCCAAAATTGTTACTTTTATTTAAATATTTAAATATAAATACATTCTTAACGTTTGGACCGATGGCAAGAGGAATGGGTAGTCCGAGAAAAGGAGTGACTGACAACAAAACGAAGCCTATCTCGAGCCACAACCACAAGTCTTAGTAACTCCTTAGGTTTCACCGGAACCCAAATGATGTCTGTCCATAGCAAACAACTACAGTAGGGACACGCTTTTGACCTGCTTACCGAGCAAAGTGCAAGTGAAAGGAGTTTGAATCTGAGAAGCTATTCTTTACCTGCCATTCTTTATAAAGGTGACTTAGACTGATAATAGTAGTAGTATATTGATGTCACTTTCTTCAAAAACTTACAAAGAAGAAGAAGAAGAAGAAAAGCATGATTCAGGTCATTAAGGGCCCCTCACAAAATTAAAATAATTGTCCATGTGAATCTTTATCTATCTTAAAATGAGACCATCTTTTTTTTCTTTTTTTTTTTTTATAAAAATTTAAAAAAAAATAAGCATGATTCTTGCCGTATCCTAAGCTCGTGGACAAATAAGACCATCTTAAAATATTTATCTTTTTTTTCTCTAAAAAAAAACACAGGTGAATAAAAAACTATTTTTTTAATTTTTTTTTATCAAAAAAAGTATCTTTTTCTATGAAGACTTTTGGAGACAAAAAGTCCAAAAAAATATACTTTTTCATTCAATTCAATGATTCAAGCAAAAAATTATATTTTGCTTGGCTCTATCGATGCTATCCCTACCGACTATATTTTTGAACTTCATGTCTTCTTGCTCAGATAGCCATTAGTGCTCTCTATGCATACGTAGTATTAGTGAAGAATCCATCACACTCCAGGATGAACCTTACTTCAAAATGATAGCTGCAAGTTAACATTCTACTTAACCCTTATAAACTCCTTAGATATAATAGTTTTAGATCACTTCACCGATTATTTTTCTCCTATAACATAAATCAAACTATCATAAATAGTATACAATCCACCTCTTATGGTCAGATATAATTTAGTCTATGTGATTATGTTGGACATGACATATGTGATAAGGTATGACCCAATTCATATGATCAAATATGATACAAATTATGTAATCAATCATGACTCCAACCAATATATCTAGGTACGACTTAATCTTGGAGCCAAGCATGATATAGTTCAATGATAAGACTCAACTTAACTTGTGAGTTAGGCTTGGCCTAGCTCACGAAGCTAGGCTCATATAGTTACTATGTGACTAGCGTCAAACACATCATCGCTCTTCTATGTAGCTCGTTGTATCTCAATCAAACCTGTCACATAGATAGTCATATGTGGTGTACGTAACTCGTTCAAGACTCAAGTGGATTGAACATGTTATTACGATAAGAAATAATAGAGAGCGTTGACTAAGTTATATAATACTAAATTTTAAAAAATATTATTTTGGTTACATAGCAAGTGCCAGCGTTATTCATAAAATAATAAAATAAATAAATAGTGATCGATACGGCAGAACATAAGAGATTGTAATAACAACTACACTTTGCTTTATCGTTCTATATGTAAGTAACATGATGGGACCATTACTCTTGAAACATTATAATGAGCGTTTAGAACAATACCAACTGTTATCTTAAATCGCTGACAGCAAAATATGGATCAATGACCGACTTATATAGATGAGATGCCACACGAAGCATTGGCCGTACAAGTTGCCGATTATTTACTTAAACGAGGCTGGTTATACCTGTTACGGTAAGTAACTTTTTTAGCCGTGGTCTCGGGGCCGTCGCGGCTTGGTTCGGGTCCGGATGACGGGGATCTTTCTGGGGGCGCTCCTCGGGGCCTCCCAGCAGCCGAGCCCGGTCGGGAAGAAGCTCCGCCACAAGCTTGGCGGTTCGGGTCGGGAGGTCGGGTCGTCCCGGTCGGGAAGAAGCTCCGCCACAGCGCCAGGAAGAGGCGACACCGTCTCGCACCTGCACACAGGTCGGGCCGGGGTGCTCGACCCGACCCCTCCGACGATCAAGTTAGAGAAAGATGCGGAGGGGGTTTAGGAGGAGGAGAAACCTCCGTCTGTGGATGAGGCAGAAGAAGAGCCTCTGAGTGTTGTGTCCGAGAGAGTTCCTCCCCCCTTTTTGCTTAGGACTCAGGGGTGTTTATATAGGAGGTTTGATGTTACCGCTGGGGTTGTGTGGGAGGCCGAGCTGCTGCAGGGTACGGAGAGCCTCGGGCAGTGTGTTGCTCAGGGGGTTGCGTGGGAGATCGGGGGATCGCAGGGTATGGGCGAGCTTCAACCATTACCTGCTTCTGTCCCGTCCGGCTGTGCTGGGTCTGCCATTTTTTGCCATATCAATACCCATGAGAAATAACATTTCTAGTTGCACATCGACATTGACGTTGACATTCCTCCTACTACTTCCTATTGACTGAAGTAGTTGTCCATTAGATATCGTGAGCTACTATTTAGTAGGAAAAAGAGCAATTGTAGATGAGGCTAGAGAGAGGCATCTCGAACAATGAATGATATGATTTAATTTGATCTAAGTAGGTTCATAAGAGAGAGAGAGAGAGAGAGAAACACCATTATTAACCCAAGGTAAAAAATTGTAGTTCATGATCACCAAATAAGAAGAGAGAGAAAGGGAAAGTTGCACCTTTTTCTCGCGTGTGGGTGGGATGCATAAGCTTCTCACGTACTCCTATCGGAAGATATGGTTGATTATACTTTTTCTTTGGGGAACGTTTCTTTGACCGCTCTACCACCCCCACCCACCTCGATTTCCGCATGGAGATTCCGCGATGTAACGTTTTAGCTATTATTATTCTTACCCATTTGACTCGAATCGATTAAGTGGGCGTCCTACCAAACCCAACGACTGCCTCGTCTCTTTAGCTGTCGGTATAGTAAACGTTGAAAACATTTTTACGTATAATAATAGGGATTAGTCTGATTTAAACTCGAATACTTGTAGAAATCAAAGGTGATGTATACGGATTAATCGACATAAAAAAGACAGACAGCAGTTTGAATCGGATTTCTCGGATGAGCCAAACGTGTGATAGATAGTGGTTCACACGTTTGTGAACCAATTAATCCATAGCGTGTGATGGTGGGACATCCAAAGCCTTCGATTATAAGGTTTCGATTAGTTTTGAAGGAAAATATCCAATGATCGGAATAATGTATAAAATAACCTATAAGATTGTAAAAATAAAGCCAATTAAGTAAACATATAAACACGCAGATTCAAGCATACAAAAAAAATTGTAGTAGTTCATAAGCTTTTCCATGATCTATCTATCTTAATAAGAATAATAAAATCTTTCTTTCTAAATTTATAAATAGCAATCGTCATAAGAACAAAAGCTGTTTTCATGCAGTTAAATAATTTTGTCGAAGACTTCCTTCATTAAATCTTCTTGGAAAATGTATGGAAAGAAAGAAAGAATGTAATCTCCTTTGCTAAAGGGACCCCTAAACCTAATTTTAGATGAGTGGGAACCAAAATATGATCAAACGGAGGTAGATTTTTTTTTTTAATTTTAAAGCTGAATCTCAGTCGATGGTGGGCCACTTATATACTTCGTATTTATGTATTTATTAGATTATATGATTTTTATAATAAAATAATATATATAATATAATTAATTAAATTCTAATTATATATATTAATTAATAAAAAATATATATTATAAATAGAATTTCTTAGGAGATGTTATTGATGGAAGTAACTCTCCTAATAACTTATCATAGACTCTTTATTCTCGTCTATAAATAAACAAAACCTCTAAGGATTAAACGATGCATGTTATAGAAGATGCTGTTGAGATATTATAGTTTCTCTCTCAACCTCCTAAAACTATCAATAATAATGATCATGTGAAAATATATAAAGAGAAAAAAATGAGTGTCTAGTTCTCATTGTAGATAAATGTTATTATGATATTCGGATATGGAAGATAATGCCTTTACATATTACACCAAAATCTTTTTCGATGACATTGAAATGTACATATCGTAAATCTGATCAAATATTATTTGATTTCAATCTTGATATAAATTTTTTTTTGCATTACATATAACATATCACAAATTTTATGTTTATAATATTTTCCTTTAATCAACGTATCAACACGAGTCCCTTACACGAGAGTTCCCTCTTATTTGTTATTATCTTAACTAATACTATTTAATTTGTATGGTCATAGTGCAAATATGTCATGGGACAAGCTAAGAACTAAACTTCCTAAAGAGAATGGAGAATCTATTTGCAAACTAGATTGTCCATTCGTTTTGTAGGTAGCACGACAAAAAGCTCATCTTAGCAACCATCGCTTTGATTGGAATCTCTTAAATATTCTACTAAATATGCTCTCTAAAGTGGGATTGAATCCCATCTCGATAGAATTTTTTTTTCTTCCTCGAATTTATGTTGTCACACATTGTTGTCGGCCATGCCTATTCATTTGATTAGTGTGAAAACAAAAAACCCAAAGTGATACATTCAGACTTTTGATTCTTTTTTTTTTTTTCAAAATAATTTTAAAAATTGTATTAATAAAATCGATAGGAAATATTAGGTGTGTTCGAGAATACATTTGAAATGTGCATTTCAAATATTAGGTGTGCATTAAGGATCTAATCTACATTTCAAATATGAATCGATAAATCCTTTTTAGATCGTATTTAGTCTAATTATTACATTACAAATGCTCAAATGTTGATACTACCTCGGGTAGCATTAACAGTTCAACA